GTTGAATGTTAACCACTTTCGTTTCCATATAACTATAAACTATGATAAAAGTTCATTAGCATGCATTGATTAATCCCATGTTGTAGAAAAAAAAAAAAAACTAACAATTGCGACCAAATCATGTGCTCGTGTTAGTCGCAAAAGAACGACCAGTGGGAAAAGAATGAGTCTGGAGCCCTGATGATTCTGTTTTGTTTATAGCTGTTTAAGCAACTTAATTATAATTGGTTTATAAACATTATTTTAAGCATTTTGCACTTTTTTCACAGAAAACAGCATGTGGTGTATGCCATGCCTATTCTCATTCATTTATGTTAATAAACATTTTGTAAGCTTGTCATTGTATCTTACTGTTTTATTGTTGTTGTGTTTTTTAATTAAGAATAACAATGAATCCATCTTTTGTTTTAGTCTTAAAAAGTGAAAGGTATAGATGTTAGCAAAACAGACAATTATCTTTTCTTGTAAAATGTGACAAAAAGATTGCAAATTCAAAAGCGAAAGCATCTGAAGCCCGCGGCTTATAACATAGCAAAAGAGGAACTCCCGTTCACAAAATTCAAATCACAAATAATAGCCTACTACTAATGAAAAAGAACAGGTTGAACTTTAACCTCTTTCGTTTCCATATAACTATAAACTATGATAAAAGTTCATTAGCATGCATTGATTAATCCCATGTTGTAGAAAAAAAAAAAAAACTAACAATTGCGACCAAATCATGTGCTCGTGTTAGTCGCAAAAGAACGACCAGTGGGAAAAGAATGAGTCTGGAGCCCTGATGATTCTGTTTTGTTTATAGCTGTTTAAGCAACTTAATTATAATTGGTTTATAAACATTATTTTAAGCATTTTGCACTTTTTTCACAGAAACGTGCATTAGTAATATTTTGCTCGATGCGCCCTCTTGTGGCCTTAAGAGAGAAGCCAAATGCTTTTCTTCACCCTAACTGAAATTATGCATTTTCTAAATAAGAATTTAAAAACTAAATAAGAATTTTTTTTTACTTAAATATTATCAAAATTCAAATTATATTCGAATTTTGATAATATTTAAGTAAAAAAAAATTCTTATTTAGTTTTTCAGCCATTTTGACAGCCCTAGAAAGCAGCAGTTTAAAACGCATCTGATTACAGCGATGTGGATGTTGCACGAGCTCTGCAGTTCAGTACTCCAGTAAAGTCCAGTCACGTCACGTTTATTTAATATTATCAAAATTCGAATATAATTTGAATTTTGATAATATTTAAGTAAAAAAAAATTCTTATTTAGTTTTTCAGCCATTTTGACAGCCCTAGAAAGCAGCAGTTTAAAACGCATCTGATTACAGCGATGTGGATGTTGCACGAGCTCTGCAGTTCAGTACTCCAGTAAAGTCCAGTCACGTCACGTTTATTTATATAGTACTTTATCAGTGTTTCCCCTGCCATTATATTGGGGGGCCCCGCCGCAAAATGACTATTTCAATATGAATTCTGTGTGTTAATGAATGGCGCAGACGTGCGGTTTTGTTTACTACTCATACTGAAGCGCGCATGACGCTTCTGGTGATTTCAGCGTCTGCCGTCTCACTAATGAGGACATAAATACATGAACATCTCCAGAACTGCTCTGAGAGTCACTTCATTAGCATTTGACCGTTTCATTTGAGTAAAACTATCCTCATATCACATACACACAGAAATGTAAAGGTATTCACGGCAACCCGTCAAAATAAAAGTTTGGTTTAACTTGAAGACATTGCGGCAGAAATATATTACTGTTGTTCAGTAGAATGTATGTAATAGGCTACTACTACTACTACTACTACTAAAATGATTAAAACCTTATTTGTAAGGAATAATCATACAATATTTCTTCAATGTTTTAATTGTAATATTAAATCCCCTTTATTTAAAAAAATAAATAAAATGTGTTTAATTTTCATTATTTAAAAGATAAATTAAATGAATGTTTTATGCCTTTAAAATGTAAATACACAACGTTGGAAAAAATAAAACATTTCATAGGACCCTAAACATGTAATTTGTGTTAAACTTTTAATAAATTGATGTTAAAATAAGTTTCATGATAATTGATTAATTAGATTATAATTAATTAGACATGCTTTTTGATTAATACAATTTAATTTAACCATTAAAAAGGAGTCCAGAAAAAAACAAACGTAAACCTAGGGGAAGCACTGACTTTATGCAATAGATAGCCTTAATAGTCGATTAACCGGTCTAACAATCGTTAGATTAATCGATTATCAAAATAATAGTTTGTTGCAGCCCTACCTAGGATGCTTCGAGGGTGAGTAAAACACAGGCTAATATTCATTTTTGGGTGAACTAACCCTTTAAAGGTTTAAAGTATGTTTACATTAAGAACAATGAAAACTCAAATGCTTTAAATTCGGCATTAAATAAAAAATTCACCATATCTGTTTTCTAAGTGCATCTAAATGTTATTGTGAACAATTAATTTGTGCATATGCTATTTAATTTATTTAATTTTTTTTAATGACCTTATAAAGCTTAATCAAAATGTCAGTACTGGACCTTACAGTGAAAGTGACAGACTTCTATCTGGTGACGTATGTGAGACTTCTCCAGTTATTTAGTTTGCTTAAACCCCACCCCCGCAAGCTTGCAGTCTTCATTTTTCTTTTCCGATAATCCATTACAATTGGATATCCGTCACAATACGGAAGAGAAGATTTGGTGATATTTCTGTTTCATAGCAACTTTAATGCAGTAAACAAACCATCTAGTAATACAAATAAAAATGAGCATAACATGCTAAATAACTATTACATGCTAAATAACTAAATAATGCTTACTTATTTTAAAAAACCTCTATATAGTCTATATCTATCATTTTTTCTTTCTTTTCTTGCCATGAATATGGTGGTAGCTGGCATGGGGTTAAACTATAAACAAACAAACAAACAAACTTTTGCTTCTTACATAATAAAAATAGTCTATATTTTGTGTATATTTATTTATTTAGTAGGTAGTCTTTTTAGTTTAAGTGTAATAATGTAACATATACCCCATTAAACGGCTACTTGCAAATTAAAAACATACATTTTATTTGAGTTGAATGTATTTTATTGTGTAACATGAAAAAGGCTGTGGAGTGGTATAAGACACTTGCATAGCTAAGTCAAAAATAATTAATTATTTCGATTTATTATTTTTTTGCGAATTGCGTAACTATTTTCAAGGGGTGGGTTCAGCTTTCAGACATAGAAAGTTTTTGAAATGAATCTGCCGGTAGTAGATTGTGTAGATTGATATCAGAAGTATTTAAACAAAACTCTACTTAAAAATGCATACTAATGTGGAATATCTACAAAATGTGAAAAGCTCAGAAATAGAATTTTGACTGGATTTTATAAGCATCAATGGTGGAATGATGGTAGAACTTACTAGGACTATTGGGTTGTAAAAGTTTCTAGGTGCCACTGTACACTGGCTTTTGGCTAGCAGGAGTTTGTTGAACCTCAAGGTGTAGCTTATTTTTTTGTGGCATGAACCAGGAATGGAGGAAGTTCATTGAAGAGATTCAGCTTGGAAACTGCATACTGATGAACAAGAACGTCTCGGTTACGTATGGTAACCCTCGTTCCCAGAGCAGAGTTTTCATTGACAGAAACTTCAGCTCGACTGTCTGCAACGGCTCAAATGGGCCCTGCTGTAGTGCTGTGAGCACTAGAGTCAGGTCCCAAGAGGGTACCCTTGGTCAGGGCGAAGAACAACTGGCAGTGAGAGGTTTCTGGAGAGGCAAACAGGTCTACCTGAGCGGCTCCGAAACGTCTCCAAACCAGTTGGACCGTCTGGGGATGGAGTCGCCATTCTCCCGGGAGCGCAGCTCGAGACAGCTCGTCGGCTGCCCGGTTGAGCAGCCTCAGGAATGTGAAACAGCACGAAGCGACCTCAGATGCTTCTGACTCCAAAGGAGGACATGCAACATGCGACAGGAGCACAGACCACCTTGTCGGTTGATGTACGCAACGGTCGCAGTGTTGTCCGTGCGGACTAGTACATGCTTGCCTCGTAAGCGCCCTTTGAGACGGATCAAGGCAAGGTGCACTGCCAGCAACTCGAGGCAGTTGATGTGCCAGTGCAGTTGGGGCCCCGTCCAAACCCCTGACACTGCAAGCCCGTTGTACGTGGCCCCCAGCCGGTGGTTGAGGCATCCGTGCAAACCACAGCATGCCTGGAGACCTGCTCTAGGGGCACTCCTGCCCGGAGAAACGCAAGGTCTGACCACGGGATGAAGGTTTGGCGGCAGGCCGGTGTAACTTGGACCCGGAAAGTGCACTGGATCGTCCACAACCCCCCGTCCCCTCTGGGGACCCAGAAATAGAGGAATTGCTCTTTGTGAGTATTTTGGGTACCACCGACCGAGAGGTCAGTGGCGGAAAAAAACAAAAAGATTCTCCGCCCAGCCCTCCCCCGGGGGAGGGAGTGGTGCTCTCACCACCTCCCGAAGAGCAGGTCCCTCCACCTCTGTGTTGCCCGTCTCAGTGCCTCTTGCTCTTTCGCTTGCCACCATGTTTGGCGGGGGCCTGGACGGGCGGGGTCGTCTTTAAAAAGACGCACCCGAAATTGCTCTTTTAGGGAAAAAGCTCTTTTAGTGTGCTGAGGCGCACAGGGGAGATGATCATCTGCAACACAAACAGGGGGTAGTGCAGCCTGATGTGTGCAACCCACTCGACACGGGAAACCACCACCGCTGAAGCGCTGTACCGCCAACACGAAGAGCTCTCCAAGAGCGTGCTGAACTCGTTCAGTCTTCTTGTCTCAGTAGAGTAGTCAGGAGCAGAACGATGTGATCGCTCGGCTCCGAAGCGAAAAGCCTGAATATGTGCTGCATCTGCTGCCTACTTATACTCACGCTGTGATCAGCAGCAGCTGGATGCAATAATCGCATGCCAATGTGCATTGGCTCGTTTAGTTTACACTCGAAGTAGATTGGTCTCTAAGCGAGATCCCAATTCGTCGGTCATCCGACGTGACATCAGGAGTGACCGACTGAAAGGGAACAGGACTGTTACAGGTGGAGGAGAGAAACAGAAGGACAGAAGATGAGAGAAGATGTCATTAGCCCTGTTCGGTCGGGACTAGTTTTACAGGGAATAAATTAGAAATTAGTCGTTAGAGAAATTTGTGTTTCACAGACGTACTTGGTGATTTTAATCCTGTCCGAATCTGCCACGTCTGTGTTTTTCTCACACAACCATCTGTAATAATTCCAGAGCAAATTACCTACTGTTTTTCAGCAAACTCAGTGATCCTCAGAAAACTAATCCCGTCCGAATGCGAATGTCTGTGATTGCCGGTGATATTTTTTTTCCTTGTGTGTTTTGGCCAACGTGAATTACCGTAGATGCTCTTACCGCACGCATGTTTGGTATATTTGCCTCCCGGCAAAGAAATTTTTTTTAAAAATAAATAACAATAATAAAATCAAGAGCCAGATCACGTAAAATGTTATGACTGGCTATTGTAATATCAGCGTCAGGTAAGATTACTCGCGTTAATTTCTGCACTCAATTACATAATGTTTTAATTACATATGTACCTTTATGAAAATTAAACATGGGTTTACTACAAATAAATAAAAATATAAAATAACCACACATTAACATGGTTTTGCTATACTAGCCATTTAGCTTCACCATGGTATTTGTAGTAAAACTGATTATACTAATGGTAATCAGACCCTCCCACCTCTGTAATAAACATGGAGATGTTAGTCCTGTCCGAATTGGTACATGAAAATCGCAGACGTCAGGTGATAAGAATCGAAACTCAAACGTAGTTTAGAAAACTAGTCCCGTCCGAATAGGAGTATTGAGACACTTCAGTACCCTACTTCTTCACAAAGACATCGAGTGCTAGTCTGATAACAAAGGATGCATACTGTTGGGGTACTGATTAATAAATCATTCCAACAGTTGCTGCCATGCAGTCACTGAATGCAAAAACCTGTACATCATAAACTGACCTATAACAAAGTTTCTAAGTGTAGTAATTGTCTATATTCATAACTCATTGTGCTAATCACTGAACTGAATTAGAATACTTTTGGAAGGGCTTAAAATTGGAGGCAGAATGCTTAATTTCTCTCAAGAGATCAAATCTGTGAAACAGGATCTGTCAGTAAATGTGACCCATGCACCCACTCCACTGTCAAAGCCACATCCTTTCCACCACTCTGGTCGGGCCTCATGCTGTAAGGTCAACTGAAAGTCATACTTTCACTCAAAGCAAGTAGATTTCTTTGTTGATGATGAAGACATTTGAGAATACCACGTAACATCAGCCTAGGACATCTAATCTATATAATAAATGTATAAAAATGTATGAAGTTTTCATCATTACAATCATCATTACGAGCCTATATAAGAAGCACTCATTGCACCATCTCAGTGACAATTCTTCCGGCATCCCACCACCTCCCCATCTCTTCTATTTCTGGTATTCTCCTTCTAGGTTGTACCGCAATGGGTGGTTGAACTCGGAGCTCAAGCCGAGCCTCGGGTTCGTGCACGGTTTTTTTTGTGCATGTGAATTAGGTTTTATGTGAATTTGGAGGTGCATGTGTCTTATCTTTTGTGTGAGTTATTATTGAGACCAGTCTTAATTCCACTAGTGCGCCTAGGGTCAAGTCAAAAATTTTGAGAACCACTGCTTAAAGGGACACTTCACATAAACATGAAGTCTGTCATCATTACCTTCATCTTGATTGAAACCATGTTTTTTCTCCTCCTTCACTTTTATCCTCACACAAAGTCATAAAACATATAACTTTAGAAGACTTGTAAAAAGCCAAATGGACTACAGTAAAAAAAATACAGACAGATCTGAGAGAACTAAGTAGCATTTACAAATAAAAACTGTGTTCTGTAATATGTTGTTTGTGCAGTAAGTTCGTGTTCAAGTGTGTTTTATCTCTTTTAAATACGTAAACAGCTGTATGTGTTTGTGTATGATCCTCCCTCCTTGATACATCAGGGATGGGCCTCACACAGAGGGAAAACACCCATATTTGCACGTCCTATGTATACACCGCAATCTTCACGGACTGCACACAGCTAAATGTTTGCCTACCACAAACTGTTTTCACAAGGAGAAGGAGGGGCTTTATTTTTCCTTTTAGAACAGTGTAACTGACATGTATGTGTTTTTTAGGGTGCTTTCACACTTGGTTCGATTGCTTGGTCCGAACCCGAGTTCGATTGCTCCCCCCTCCCCCTGCCCCCGCTGGACTGTGTTCACATTATATTATTTGGGTCCGAACCGCGGTTCGTTTGCGTCATCAAGCCAGCAGTTGTTTACCCTGTTGCTTAGTAACGATGGCGCAGGAGAAGACGGCAAAATGTGTAGCATTGCTCTCTTCAATTTTATATTTATGCTTTTGAACCGTTGGTTTTGTTTCCAAAGCTTCAGTACATAACGGCACTTACGTCTGCCTTACGAATGTACTGCAAATGCTCTAAAGTACTCTGAAGGTGAATAGAAATGAGATATACAGCTCTCTGCTTGCAGCGCGTCAGTCACGCTCGTCAGGAAAGTGAGTGAAACACACACAAACACACATTTTTATCAAATAATACGCCATTAATAGCGGTTCACTTCCGTGATTTGGTACGATTGCGTTCACATCAGCAGCGAACCGTACCGGAGTTCACTTGAACCTGTACCCCAGACCACCCTTTTTAAATGGACTCGGGTACGATTCGTGGGTGCGCACCCGAGTTCGGAAGACAGCGTTCACATCATCCAAACGAACCGAACTCTGACGTCAATCAAACCCGGGTGCGCACCAAAAGTGCTAGTGTGATAGAGGCTCTTACTCTCTGTCCCTTCTTTGACTCCACCTATAACCGAGAATCCTAGCAGGTGCATCTGCCTTTGTCATTGATGTGTCTTTTCTGTAGCTTTGAGATATGTATAAACTTTTTTCTGCATTTAGAATAGTCTTACCATTTTTCCCCCATTATTTTTTATTTCCCTACTGTCCACTAAAAAGTCAGTAGTTTAATTCTGAGCTAAAACAGCCGTACTATTGTTTTTATGACTATCTTTCTCCCTCTATGCCTTAGAATTAAACAGGCTGTTTGTATAAAATGAAGGACCTGGTTAAAAAATAAAAAAATTCTCATGTTGAGGTCATTTTGGAGGACATGTAGAGCTGCAGGTGTTACAATGTTCAAAAGTATTCATAACTTCATAAATCTTTTAACTGTGGAAGACTTAAATGGACTAGTAAATATTTATATTGACTACTTCAGTGATTTAAATTCAGTTCAGTTCAATTCAAGTTTATTTGTATAGCGCGTTTCACGATACAAATCGCTGCAAAGCAAATTTACAGAAAATTAAGTTTCTACAATATTTAGTAGTAGCTTATCAGTGGTGACTGTCATTTAATGTACATATGGCAGAAATGTACGGAAAAATCAACTAAAGACGTAATCAAACAGACGATGAACACTATTAACAGCAATTATTATATGATGCAATCAAACTTATAGCAAAATGTGGTAGTTCTGTATGTTGTTTCAGGGTTGGCATCTTCTGAGGTCCTCTGAGGGGTTGGCATCATCTCTTCTCAGGTGTTCTGGATCCAGACTGAAGCTTGTGTAAATCCTAGTTACTACGGGATGCCAATCCTGTGGCAAAAACAGAGATGTCAATGATAGTTTTTTTTTTTTTCTCTGAAGCTTGAAAGTCCCTGTCCCCATTCACTTGGATTGAATGTATGGAAAAGGGCTTGGATATTTTGCTAAATGTCTAAATGATTTACATATACGTAGGGGAGCGCGGGGCACAAAGTAACGCGGGGTAAGTTGTAACACACGTGGTTTAAATATTTCCACACATGCTAGCATAACCAAATTTACAGCATTTACTCCAATCTGTTATTTATCAGTTTAGATTATTTTTTAATGCTTCGCTGACTATCAGAAGACAGTAACCGGTATTAAATTCCAGTTGCGCAGATGGGGCACGTTGTAACACTGTGTTACAATGTGCCCTGCCGTGCTATTCTATGACATTAGCGATTTAATTCAGACTATTTACTTTAATAAATTTTAATGATAAACGACGAGAAACAGGTGAATAAAGACTGACAGTCAATGTTTAATGTTAAGAAATTATTATTTCAAGACATGTAAAGCATTTTGGCTCGTTTATGTGGGCCGTCCCCTTCCCTTATCCTGTAAGAGAATTACTGGAGCAAGTAGCTGAGTTTGAGAAGACTGATTTCAAAGCCAACAGCAAGGTGAGCTCATTGCAGGTCTTGACATGACACATCAGTCTCTGATAGGTGTAGTCAGTTATTTTTGTAGCGTATTATATATGACATCTGCAGCCTGCACAGAATTCACACATTTTGCAGGTTAATGTGTGAAATGCATCTTTTGTCCTTCTAGACTGTCATGGTCAGTGTTGAGGAAAGTTACTTTTAAAAGTAATGCATTACAATATTGTGTTACTCCCGAAAAAGTAACTTAATTGTGTTAGTTACTTTTTATGGAAAGTAATGTGTTACGTTACTTTTGAGTTACTTTTTAAATCTGGGAAGGGCTTGCTTGTTTGTTTTTTAATATAAAAAAGTTATTCTTTTACAAATGTAAAAGCTCTTTTCACAACAAAAGTGAAATGAATACGCCCCAAGCTGAAGGAAATGTAAATTCATGTCTGTAAAGCTCAAACAAATTGCATGAAGAATATTACACAGGAGAAGAAAGTTCAACACTATTCAGCAATAACAAAAATGAAACACAAATGTGTCATTTTTGCTTAGTATGGTTGAATTGGATTATTGAAGGTCAGTAGCAAAGACATTGGTTAATAAAATGGGATTGAATATATAAATGATTGCAGGTTTCTATAATATTCTGAGTTTGCATTTGACTGTTTTTATTCATTTTGAGGAATACTGAATCTGTCATTCTGTAATTACATGTTTATATTTAGTCTAGAACTACAGTAAGCATCATGTTCACACAGCACGCACAACGCCTCTGCACTTACTCCTGATTTCTCTCAACATGGCAACATGAGAGCAGTCAGTCAAGACATGGGAAAGAAAGCAACTGGCATTGCTTATTTTAAAAAGTATAGTTTAATAAAAGTAATTTGATTACGTAACTTGCATTACATGTAATGTGTACCCCTGGTCATGTGATGTGATGTTCTTAATTATAGCTTTTCATGCTAATCTTATAATGATAGAAAATACAATTTTCAAAACATAACTTCCCTTAAAATTCCCTTAGTGTCTTGTCATGGTCACAAGTTCATGGGTTCAACTTAAAGATTATGTATTTAAAGACCCCATGAAATGCATTAAGTTGAGTTTATTTAGCAATTTTTTAGAAGTACCTCAGATGAGCAATATTAATGGCTTCAAAGCTAATAAACCACAACACTCCAATTTATATTTTATATGTTTTTCATAAAAATGACAGTAAAATGACTGCTCATAGTGAACTACATTAATCATCTATTTTATTTGCTTTTAGGTAAATCAGGAGTCTAGTAAGCCAAAATTAGCACCACTGAATGAAGGAGGTGTGTCTGAACTACTCCAGAAGGTATTTTTTTTTATTTGAACAAATAAAATATGTACACAGGTTCTGTATATAAAGAAGTTCTTTTTGACTTTCTTTTTTAGGAGATTTCCAGACTACAAGAGGACAATGGCAAACTGAAAGCTAGACTCAGAACTTTGGAATCTCAGGTGAAGAAATGGTGATAATAATAATAATTTTTAACTAAAAATAGTAAAAACTCAGAATGTCTTTACTAAATTGGTAAACTTGATATATACTGTGGTCCCTGAAACATTTTATTTTTTTTATTATTAAAAACCAGCAGATATTGTTTTGAAATGTTTTGCTTTAAAAGTGTGCTTACGTTTAAAAACTTTAAAAGGTGTGGTACGTTTCTTTAAATAAAAGGAATATAAGAAATTTAAATTTAATATTTTGTATCTAATGCAATAACATTAAGACATTTTTAATTGTTGTTTAAGTGTCTAAATAGATTTAGGGGCCCTTTTATTATACATTATTTTGTGTCTTGCCTTTATAACTGTTGTATTGTAGGCCATGAGTGCTCTGGATGACAAGTCCAAAGCAGAGAGAGCCTTGAAAGACCTTCAGAAGAGCCAAGGAGATCAACAGGTATAAAGGCCCAGGTATACTTATTTTTCCGTGTTCCGCTCTGTCTCGTGCACAGCTGTAGCTGTGTCTACGCAGATTTTAAAGTATACTCAACCGCGGATGAACAAGTTCAACAAACGCGCAGTACCACCTAGTGGACTCGTTTGGTCTCAACATTCACCTCGCGTCTACGCTGTTGTATGCAGATCGTCTGCACAGACATCAAAACTGGGCTGTATGTGGACGATGTGTATGAATGTCCGCAGACACTTCTGGTGATGAAAATTGTGTTATGTGGAACACGGATTGCTGGAGTATACTTTGGGCTTTAAATACTGTATATCACTGACTGAGCCAAACTGGCAATTTTAGCCTGTTGTTTTGTGTATTTTAAGGTTTTTTTTTCTCACCTCTTTTTTTTATAACTTTCTGTTTGGCTACATGGAAACTCTGTGGTATGTGCTGTTTTAATTTTATTGCAAAATGTACAGTATAATATATGCCTGTAATTAATTTATTTATTTTTTGTAAATTGTACACACAGCTGTATAATGACAAAATATTTACAGGCATTTTCTTTGATAGTCTGCAATACATGCTCAGGAGATCACAAATCTGGAAGGCACAGTTGCAGAGATGCAGGCTGACTTTGAAAAGACCCTGAATGCCAACGTTGCTTCTCAGAAAGACCTGCAGGACTGCCTGGTATCTGCTAAACATGACCTGCTCCGTGTCCAGGAACAACTTTCACTTGCTGAGAAGGTACACTTATTCAGCACTGTAGCACTTATCAGACACTATCTGAATTTCTGATTGTTCACACTGAAATCACATTGCAAAAAACAGATATTTTCAGTTTGCATATTCAGGATGCATATTCAGTTTATTTCCACATATGAAAGTCAACTTTAACCTAGTTAAAAACACTGTTGAAGTCTCATTTACAGACCTATTGGATTCATTATTTCAAATCATTTATTTACTTGATTAATCAATTGTTAATAACAGTAATTATTATTGTCAAGTCAAGTCACCTTTATTTATATAGCGCTTTTAACAATACAGATTGTGTCAAAGCAACTACAGTATTAATGCCAACAAAGTTTTCTAGTCTATTCAAAAGAATGTTGTGGTCAATAGTGTCGAATGCAGTGCTAAGATCCAGTAGCACTAATAGAGAGATACAACCACGATCAGATGATAAGATCATGTCATTTGTAAGTCTCAGTACTGTGATACGGTCTAGGAATTGTTCCTCAGGGGATCTATAGTGCACTATCTGATGCGATACTGTAGCTGACGGATGCATGGTTACAATTTTGTCTCTAATAGTATCGATCTTGAAAGTAAATAGTTCATAAAGTCATTACTGCTGTGCTGTTGGGAAATGTCAACACCTGTTGATGCTTTATTGTTCATATTTATTGTTTATAAATGTATTATGTTTATAAATATATAAGTGAAGGTTGATGTGTTTGATGAATCATATTATGCTTATTTTCCCATTAAGGAACTGGAGAAGAAATTTCAGCAGACGGCTGCTTACCGCAACATGAAGGAGATTCTCACTAAAAAGAATGAACAGATTAAAGATCTGAGAAAGAGATTACAAAGGTACAGTTTCTCTATTATGACTATCACTGAAATGTTGTGAGAAACTGCCTTTGGTTTAAATTAAATATATTTATGAATTTGCTGCATTATATTCCCTCCTCAGGTATGAATCAGATGAGTGAATTTTAACCCACAAGAAGAGGTCAACAAAGATTATCACTACAGGATCTGATGTACCAGCTACACCTTGTTGTACGGTTTACAGTGGATTAGAAATATTATTTGGACATTCACACTACAATTACTTAGTTATTCATCACCTCTTTGTTTTTTTTCAGTATTTACAGCTGGTTAACTGAGAGGAAGTTTTTGCAAGTACCCTCATATATTGTGTGGGTTCACTTTGCTTAGGAGGAAATGTATTGCCCATAGCTTTGCTCCCTTCTTTACTGGAAGAATACAGCTCGACACTCTTGTCAAACATTGTTTCAAAGAACTACATATCTGTGCATTATAATAATAATTAATTCTTCCTGTTTTATGTTTGTATGCATACATTAATCTCATTAATCTACTAGGAGCTTTAGCTGTAGCAACAAGTATATAACCTTTACAAAAATTTGTCTGTATATAATTTTATAATTAAGAACAACCCTATGTGTAATGCATAAATAGGCATCAAAAAAAAATTTTTTTTTAATTATTAAAAACATTTTTGTAGTGAAAGTGTTTTAATTAAAGGAATAGTTCACTAAAAATTAAAATGTACTCACCCCCAAGATGTAGGATAAATTTAGCATTACATCACTTGCTTAGCAATTGAATGTGAATTCACCCAGCAGTGAATGGGTGTCATCAGAATAATAGCTTAAACAGCTGATAAAAACATCACAATAATCCACTAATCCAAATAACTCCAGTCGATCAATAAATGTCTTATGGAGTGAAAAGCATGTTTGTAATAAGTCCATCAAGGCATTTTACCTTTAAACCATCGTTTGTGGCAAAAAAACAAGTGCATAATCCATAAAAAAATGCTTCCTTCAGTTAAAACGTCCATCCCCCGTTGTCCTCTCACATCAAAATCTTCCAACATATTTGTTTAGAATGGTTTTAGCCTGTCATCATTTGTAAACAGTGCTTGATCTGTGTATATTTCTTTTATGATTCAGACAAGACGACCTTTTCACCATGGAAACCAATTTTACCAATTCAACTCATTTGAATTTAAAAATAATTAATGATTGAATTGTTTCTTACAAACAAACAGCTTCATAAGATGTTTACTGATGAACTGGAGTCATGTCAATTGGTCAGTGAGTGAAGCTAAATTCCTTCAGATCTGTTCTGATGAATGAGCAAACACGTCTTGGATTGCCTGAGGGTGAGTAAATATTCAGCAAATGTTCATTTTTGGGTAAACTATTCCTTCAATGTTAATTTTGTTTTATTTGCCTGACTAATTGGATACCGAATGACTACTTTTGTTAAAAATGTTTATTCCCATTTTGACTGACATTACAATAGGGCTCCAGTCAACATACTTTGTGTTGACCTTTACTCTTCCTATTTGAATCTTTTGAAAGATTTTGTCAACTTAGAGGTCAGTTTGAAAAGCTGAAACGTATATACATTTTAACACTACAGGCCAATTAGAAACTGAATGCAGTCTTTACATCAGTGGAGACACCAGTTCTTTAAAATGTTTCCTATATAGCACATTCATAATATGCTATCCACAGTATATTTTTGTAAGACTTATGTCCCCAGAAAGCATAACTGGAACAGCAGTGTAGGTGTGATATGACTCTACCTGTGGTTGGGGTCTTTTATCTTGTGAATGTAATATTCTAGCGATGTAATATTGTGAAATGCAGTCGTTCACATGAGTTCATAAAGTTTTTACAGCATTGGTGGTCTGAATTATCATTATTTTTTTATCAGATCTATTAAATTTCTTTGTTCATCAGATCTAATGTCTTTGCATTATGTAGTTGGCCTCATTTGCTTAAACAGGCACAGTCTCTAAAAAGGAAATGGGAAATTCACTGTGAGATGAGAGAATGTTCAAATTGTTTTGAATATGCAATATTAATTAAGGAAGAAAGATTAGGTACTTCTTGATATGACACTTAAAATCTGCATGTTTATATAATCATGCATGTGTTTGTTTGACTTAAAGAAACAAAACTTTGTGAAAGCATGATGGCTGTTAAAGTTAGGTCCATATATATTTGGACACTGACACAGTTTTAATAATTTTGTCTCTATATGCCACCAGAATGGAATTAAAATGAAACAATCAAGATGAAATTGAAGTGCAGGCTTTCAGCTTTAATTCAAGGGGCTGAACAAAAATAAATAACATAAAATGCTTAGGAGTTACAACCATTTTTATATACAGTCCCCCTATTTTCAGGGGCTCAAATGTAATTGGACAAATAAATATAATCATAAATCAAATGTTCATTTTTAATATTTTGTTGAGAATCCTTTGCAGGCAATGTTGCCTTAAGCCTGGAACTCATGGACATCACCAAGGACTGGGGTTCCTCCTTTGTGATGCTTTGCCAGGCCTTTACTGCAGCTGACGTCAGTTGTTGTTTGTGGGTCTTTCTGCCTTTAGTTTTGTCTTTAATAATTGAAATGCATGCTCAGTCGGGTTGAGATCAGGAGATTGACTCGGCCATTGCAGAATATTCCACTTTTTTTACCTTCAAAAGCTCCTGGATTGTTTTTGTTGTATGTTTTAGGTCATTGTCCACTTGTACAATAAAGCGCCATCCAATCAACTTTGCTGCATTTGGCTGAATCTGGGCAGACAGTATATCCTTATACACTTCAGAATTCAACCGGCTGCTTCTGTCTTCTGTCACGTCATCAATAAACACCAGTGAACCAGTGCTACTGGAAACCATGCATGCCATCACGCTGCCTCCACCGTGTTTCACAGATGACGTTGTGTGCTTTGGATCATGAGCTTGTCTAAGCCTTCCCCATACTTTTTTTCTTATTGTCATTCTGGTACAGGTTGATCTTAGTTTCATCCATCCAAAGAATGCTTTTCCAGAAGTGGTCTGGCTTTTTTAGATGTTTTTTTTGGCAAAGTCTAATCTGGCCTTTCTATTCCTGAGGCTTATGAATGGTTTGCACCTTGTGGTGAACCCTCTGTATTTGCTCTTGTGAAGTCTTCTCTTGATTGTAGACTTTGACAGTGACACGCCTACCTCCTGGAGAGTGTTCTTAACTTCACTGGATGTTGTGAGAGGATTTTTCTTTACCATAGAAAGGATCCTCAGATCATCCACCTCTGTTGTCTTGCGTGGACGTTTCACTTGCATGGAGAGCTCCTTTGACCGCAGGATGTGGGTTCACAGCAACAGCTTCCAAATGCAAATACCACACTTAGAATTAACTCCAGACCTTTTACCTGCTCAGTTGATGTAGAAATAACGAAGGAATAGCTCACAACTGTCCATGAAGCTTTTGAGTCAGTTGTTCAATTACTTTTGGTCCTTTGAAAAAGGGGGAGGTACATATTAAAGGGCTGTAATTCCTTAATCTTTCCTCCAATTTTGATGAGTATACCCTCAAATAAAAGTTCAGAGTGTGCACTTTAAAGCTAATATGCATTATATAACTATAACTTCAATATGTTTTGGTCAACAGCTAAAATAACAAAAATTGTTCCTGTGTCCAAATATATATGGACCTGTATGTTTCAGAAGTTTTTTTTTATTGTATTATGAAGGGTAATTCTATAATATGATGATCCTGATTATACAGCAGCAGAGGTGCGAGGTGTTTTTCATTAAAGCTCCCCAAAGTTTGCCTGTGGTTTCACTTTGAATGTGGCACTCTTATTATAGCTTGCACAGCATGATATAGCACCATCCTTAAAATATTTTTGGTGTGGTTAAAAAAATAGCCAGTGGTAAACTCCTTGAAGTTTTTAGTAAATGTTTATGGTGAAACTCTCAAAGCAACTGTCTGTCTTTAAGTAACCCAGTGCTTTTCTGATTTATAATATGAGTGCACATAGGTATTCAAGGTTCTGTATGTATAAGTTTGTATGAGCAGTGGTGTGTATCTGTATTAGTTCAAAGGCTTTAAACTGAACTCACAAAGCCTATTTAATGTCATTTCAGATTGGAGATTTATTAGATGTGAAAATATTTATTTATGTAATTATTTTCCTTTATGTGCAAGAGAAATTCATAAAACTAAGATAGAGAACTTAATAAGGTGCTTCAAGCCTTGGACATCAAACTTTTGGTGAGGCTTTTTTTTTTGTAATTATTTTCCTTTATGTGCAAGAGAAATTCATAAAACTAAGATAGAGAACTTAATAAGGTGCTTCAAGCCTTGGACATCAAACTTTTGGTGAGGTTTTTTTTTTTTTTTTTTTTTGCACTGACCTTCAACCCTGTAATATTAAACCCTGAAACATTTTGCATGTAAAACAGTTGTTGGCAGAAATTATAGAATTGTCATGGAAGTAATTGATAGTTCCCCTTCTAGGGAACTCAAGGCTGCACCCCCTATGGGGCACATTGGGGAATGCTGCCTGCATGACCGGTGTCTGAAGCACGCGTGAAACTCAAGCGGCAACCTCCTCCTCTCTCTCGTGAAGCCAACAAGGAAGTGACTTAAACTGTAATTCATCGACTGGCCGCTAGAGGCTGGCTGCAAAAGGGAGTCAATCCCATAGACTCCCCATGATAAAATGCCCAACTTTACAGCACAAAAAAGCATGTTTACAGCCTGGTTCAAAAAATGATTTTGGTCTATATAGCTAATTTTGCCCTTCATGACAACTGTGAGGGGGGTGAATTTTTTTATAACTAATCCCTTTAAATTATATTAAGCCTTAAAAAGTTCTGCATAATTAAGGGCGTGGCCACTTGAGTGACAGGTGGATTGCCGCTGCTGTCACCACCGTCGAGCTAGGTGGGCGAGGCTTCAGCAGCCTGCTCCCGCCTCTTTGCCCATTTTCGATTATCCGGGAGTGACATGCTGCCAAGATGGCTCCGCCCACTTTTGAGCTTCAAAAACACTCTTCGGAAATCTACAGGTGACGTCACAGACACTACGTCTATGTTTTTATACAGTCTATGGTGAAACTACACCAATCTATTGGCCCACCTGGCCCATGACGTCAAAGGCGGGATTCCCGAAAGTATAAAAGGGCACCTGCTGAATACGTCATCCTCTTACTTAGTAAATATGAAGCAAAAGCAGTAATTAAAGCATATACCACTAAGGAGTGGCAACATAAATGGAAATACAGGACGTCAACTTTATGAAATACAACGAGAAGTAGGAGTAGTGAGAATAACTAAAAGAAGCACGAAAGAGGAAAATATTCTAACAAGATTAAGGGTTGGGCATACAGTGAAATGTAAGTCAGGTCCGCTCCATGGACAGTGCAATTATTAAAGAATACAAACACAAGAAAATTATATATAAATATAGGTATGGAAAAAGTAAGATAAAAAAATAAGAATAAAAATAAAATGCGCAGGACAGTATACTGTAGACTTAATAAATATTTAGATGAGCAGGAATGTACAACAGAAGAATGTGCAAACAGGTTGTACAGGGTAGTTACATAGCAACAATAGAGGTAAATAAGTAAATAAATAAAATATTACAGAGATTGCTGTGTGCAAGTGACAATGTCAGTATATTAATTGTCTTACTGATAATTAAGTCAAGTCATGTT